CCCCCCCCCCCCCCCCACCCCCCTGGATACAAAGGTTGTCACTGTGGCCTTAAAAAAATCAATATATTAATAATTTAGTGTCACGCAACAAAGTACATTAGTAGGATACCGTTACTTTACCTAAATGACTTGTTAGTTCTGATTACTTCTTGAGTAAAAGGCATCCTTGACTGATTGTTAAATACGAAGTCTGCTCTTAAGGCATCGATCAACACGATCACCAGTCTTCCGAATTTTGGAGACAAAGGATCTCCTGGCCTCTCAGCTGATGGCTCCGGCGGAAGGTCCGTGATGGCTGCCATTCCTTGGATTGCTTTCTTCAGAGGAAAGAAACCTCTCAGAAACAGTACAAGACCCAATATTTGACAAAAAAGAAGAAGAATTAAGAAAAGGCTATGACCGGAAGCCATCTTGTTTTCAAGCTAAAGTGCTGCTGTCCCCGAAACATTGACGAATTTAACCAAAACGTTTCCCATTAGCAAGAACTATAACTGCGTATTACTCTGAGTTTCAAAACTTAACATTTCCTCCTGATCGCCTAGGGATAATGAACTTCTAAAGTAGAGTAAGGAATTTATTCATTGCTTTTGTCCGCCATTTTGGAACGTTCACCTCAGCAATAGTTGAGACCTGCGGTAGAGTCAGAGAGGTTAGAACGTCATGTATGAAAGGGGAACATATACTTTGAAAATCAACATGGCGGCGGACAGCATGGAGGATTTAAAACTTACTGTAAACAAGGATTTTGCAAAGAAGCTTCAGAAACAGAAAGAGAAAGCTGAACTTGATCAATGTAAGTAGAAAAGAACTTCTTCGGCGTTCATGTTCAGATTACGAGGCTAGTGAGTTGTGACCGCTGCATGCTTGCTGCGAAATCCTTGTGATCTCTATCACGTGGCTGTGTCTGTGGTTAGCTGAGGCTCTGTCTGTTATTTGCAGTAAAACAGAAGTTTGGAGACAAAGATCTTGATGATGAATCTGAGTCAAGCTCTTCTGAAACAGAGGATGAGGATGCTAGAGTGAGTGAATAAAAAATTATATTAATATTGGAAATTGATTTTAATTAGCTGATAACAGCATTTTGCTGATACCTTATACATGTGCCTTTAAGCTCATATGTGGTGCGGGTCAATTTTATCCTAAACTGCAAGCAGTCTCTTATTTTGCTTCTGAGTCACCGTAGATCAAGAGCATGCACGGAAAAGAGTGGCTTCGCTGTGAGGAACGAGGACGGAAGCCTGAGCAAAGACAAAATAAGAGACTGCGATGGGATCTTTGATCTGGCAATTTGCCTGCTTTAATGCCTCCATAATTGACAGTTGCTTCTTCTGAAAATTTGCACCATTTTGCATGCTTTTTCCTGTAAACAAACAGCTGGTCTACTCACTGCTGTTTGGTTAAAAACATTAGTTCTCTTCTTATCGGTGTAGCCTGAAATTCATCCGATTGCGTCGAGTCGTTTTGTCCTCTCAACAACGTCTGAATCAAACGGCCGTTAATGCCATCCAGTGACGTCATTCACTACCTGAAAACCGGGTAGTGATTTTGATTGGTTGATTGTCTAAACATTCGCATAATTTTGTATAATTATGAAAAATTTTAGCGGGATTGTCGCTTGATATTCAGCGGATCGCATCCCTGGCATTCTTTCATTTAGTTCAAACATTTCGATAAGCTTAATCTTTATCTTAAACAGCAAAATTGCCCTTGTCTTTGAAACTGAAATGCTAAATTGAACTGCAAATGAAGAATCATTGCGGAGAGTCGGTAGGTTTTTCATTTAGAGCCGCTTTGTGGTTTCGGCGGCTGGTGATTTTGTTGACGTGAAATTTTCCGAGATCAATGTTATAATTCGACCTTCTTGCTATTTTTACAGTCAAGTGTAATGATTCTGTTAGCTTTTCTTTCTTGTCTCCTTGATTTTTTTCTTTGTTAAGGACCAAATAGCTTCCTTTCAACTAAAGCAAATCATTGTGTTTTTGAACTAAGTGTTCCGTCTGTGTGTTTATTTCATCGGTGATTGTGACTGAGTTTGATCATAGAATTTAGTACAACCGCTTCAGAGTTTTACTGCATGCAGTTGATAGTTTGAACGTTAAACATGAATTACAATCGAAAAAAATAAAGCAGTTCTGTATCATGCAGACATTCCAAACGATATTTCTCGGTGTGCCACTTGAAAATCGTGTTTTACTTTTTGCATGAATTAAAGCAAAGGTCAAGGAGTAGTGACGTCACTGGACAGCATTAACGGCCGGTCGATTCAGACGTTACTGAGGGAGTAATAACAACTCGAAGTAATCGGATGAAATTCAGGCTACTTATCGGTGACGTTTTACAATGATAGTATCGTAATGAATCCCGAAACTCCGAAAAAAAGAGGGGTCCCTAAAGTAAGCGAGGAAAAAACCGAGAAAGGTGAAGAAGCCTGGCAATAATTTTTATAGACTGGTTTAGAATTTGCCATTGACCTTTCGCGGATATTATTTCAAGCGAGAATATATTTCAGGCTCTACAAAAGCAAGGGCTAGTTAAACCATTAACAGACCTCCGCTTCTATGTATTTTGGAAGCTGGAGTGCAGTTCTCATGCCATGTCTGTTTGCCATGTGCTACAATAGTTGGAGCCGCAGTGACTCCCTTGAGAATGAGATTTTTTTGGCGTGGACAGATTGACAAGTAGCTGACCAATCAGGAAGTTCTGTTTCACTGAATCTTTAATTCGAAATACAAGAAAACCTCCATGGTCATCCTTTTTCCACTCTCCGCCCTAATCTCTCCTCCTTTTTTACCATTTCACTTTTGAGTTTGCCACTTGTGGCTCTGAGGAAAGAAAGATGACCGCTCACCTTCCAATTTTATCTTTGGTTTAATTT